AGTCTGCTCTGGAGCCCTCCTTCCTGAGCTAAGACAGAAATGTGTGAGCCGGAGGCTAAAAAACTGTGAGCTAGCTCACACTCACTCAGCTTAGAGGGAACACTGGTTCCCAGTGGTGGCGTCCCCACAGAGTATCCAAAGGAAAGCACTACCCACGGCACCCCCCTTGCCCGTGCCACCCGCCCCCTGACGGCTTTTTGCTGTTTCCTTTAAGACATCAGTCATAGGTATGTCCCCAGGACCATATTTCTGCAACCTGTTTCAAAGACATCTGGCAAAAGTCCTGCCGTTTCCTGTTCATGCAGACACCAGACTTTCAGGAGGGAATAGTGGGCTGTGGTCAGTGTTCCCTCTGAGCTGAGTTAGTGTGAGCCAGCTCACAGATTTCCGTCTTGGCTCAGGAAGGAGGGCTCCAGAGCAAACTAATTGATGCAGCAGCCCAATCGCTCGCTTACAACTTGAATGCCAGTCGCTCGCAAAGTAGGATTTTTGTTCACGAGACTCCACAGCTTAAAGGGAGCATTCGCTGTGGTCAGTGTTCCCTCCAAGCTGAGTGAGTGTGAGCTAGCTCGCAGTTTTTTAGCCTCTGGCTCACACATTGTTGTCTCTGCTCAGGAAGGGTGGCTCCAGAGCAAACTGATTTATGCAGTAGCCGAATTGCTCGCTCACCACTTTAATGCCAGGAGCTCCCAAAGTAGAATTCTTGCTCACAAGACTCCACAGCTTACGGGGATCATTGTTCCTGACCAGGGGTCATTTCCTGCAGGAGCGCACAGGAGCGGCTGTGGTCTATTTCCGTGTGTCTTGTTTGTATCATTTTGCTTTTGTCTCTATGATCCACTCTGCATTGCTCAGCGTCTGGCGTGTCTTCAACCAGGGGAAGAGGGGGAGGGAAAAACTGCCCTGGAACAGCCCCCCCCCCAGAAAAAAAGGAGGGAGGAAGAGGCATTTGGGTGGGGGAATTCCTGGAGATTTGGGGGTGGATCCTGGGGAGGGGAAGGTATACCAATGCAGATGGCCTCTAAACCGGATCCCCACCGTCGGCAGGCCTGGGCGAAAGAGACCGGCAAGTACAACGAAGGGGTGGACGAGCCAGATCCGGCCAAGTGGAAAGCCAACTTGCGCTGCGCCCTCAACAAGAGCCGGGAGTTCAGCCTCATCTACGACGGGACCAAGGAGACGCCCATGCAGCCGTACAAGATCTACGAGGTTTGCGAGGTGCCGCAGCCCAACGGAGGTACCAGCCGGCCTGCGGGGCCTCAATTCCAGATCCATCAAAGTCAGTATCATATGCCCAGACCGGCAGCCGCTCTCCAGGGTCTCAGGCTGAGGTCTTTCCCATCACCTCCTGCCTGGTCCTTTTGAACTGGAGACGCTGCCAGAGACTGAACCTGGGACCTTCTGCATGCCAAGCAGGTGCTCTGTCACTGAACCACAGCCCCTCTTTGCAGCTCTCCAGGGTCTCAGGCGGAGGTCTTTCCCATCACCTCCTGCCTGGTCCTTTTTAACTGAAGATGCCGGGGACTGAACCTGGGACTTTCTGCATGCCAAGCAGAGGCTCTGCCACTGAGCCACAGCCCCTCTTTGCAGCTCTCCAGGGTCTCAGGCGGAGGTCTTTCCCATCACCTCCTGCCTGGTCCTTTTGAACTGGGGATGCTGGGCATTGAACCTGGGACCTTCTGCATCCCAAGCAGAGGCTCTGCCACTGAGCCAAGGCCCCTCTTTACAGCTCTCCAGGGTCTCAGGCAGAGGTCTTTCACATCACCTCCTGACTGGTCCTTTTTTAACTGGAGAGGCTTCCGGGGATTGAACTTGGGACCTTCTGTGTGCCAGGCAGATGCTCTGCCACTGAGCCACGGCCCCTCTTCAACCCATGACTTCATGTGGCGCACACGGAGTTAATTCTCTTTGCCTTCCCTGTGCAAACCGACCTGTCAGGTTTTGAAGTCGCATGAAAACCTGATTGGCCGGCGGTAACAGTGGGCCAAAAGTGGCTCAGCCGTGGCGGTGTGGCACTTGGAGTGTTGAACTGTGACTGGGCAGGCCTGGATTCCAGTCCTGCTCAGCCGTAAAAGTCACCAGATAAACTTTTGCCAGTTGCACTCACTCGGCCCAGCCCACCATGCAGGGCAGTTGTGAAGATAAAATGCAGGAGGGGAGTACCGTGAACTCCTCTGAAGAGAGATGGAATAAAAATGAGATAGACTGGATCTCCTTCAACTCTCGGGGGGGGGGGATCTCTCTCTCGTTTAGGGAACCGTGTGTCCGTCCTCCTTGCTGGTCTTCTCTCCTGCCACGTATTTCCTCTCTTCTTCCTCCTTCCCTTCTCTCCGCAGGGACAGCCCAGTGACCCAAATGTCGCGGGCAATCTCATCACAGACTTATTTATTTCTTTTATTCGACTTGTACATCCCGCCCTCCCTGCATGGCAGGCACAGGGCAGGTTACGTCAAATCTGATTAAAAAAAATACAATATACACAACACAATTAAAACACTAGTAAAATACCACAATGGCCTTTGACATTAAAACCTCACAGACGCCAACTCTGGTATGCCGTTCTGACCGGTGTTCCCTCTAAGCTGAGTTAGG